GTCGGGCGGTCACTGTGGGAGAGGTCAGCGCTTCCTGAGCTAGACGCGTGATGCTCGAGCGTCTGTCCTGGGAGAGCGCTGCCCGAAACTCCACCGAGTCTAGCTGTAGACCTAGATAGACTAAGCGCTGTGCGGGTTGCAGATTGCTCTTTTCCCTGTTCACCACAAAGCCTAGGCGCTGCACGTGTGACAGGACCCAGTGCGTGTGAATGGTGGCCTGCTCCAGAGACGGGGCCAGAATCAGCCAGTCGTCTATATAAGTCAGGATTCTGATCCCTGCGCGTCTGAGTGGTTCCAACGCCGCCTCCACGCACTTGGAGAAGGTGCGTGGGGCCAGAGCGTAACCGAAGGGGAGGCGACAGTACTCGTAACACTTCCCTCCCACGGTGAAGCGCAGGAAGCGTCTGTGCTCCGGTACTATGGCAACGTGGAAGTAAGCGTCCGTCAGGTCTATGGTTGACATCCAGTCCCCGGGCCTGACGCACTCTAACAGATGTTTTGTGGAAAGCATCCGAAAGGGCCGTTTGGAAATGCACTGGTTCAGAGTGCGCAGATCCAATATAGGGCGCACCCCCCCTGATTTCTTGGGGACCAGGAAATACGGGGAGTACAGGCCTCTGGAGGCGTCCCGAGGGTCCACCAGGACCGCGGCGCCTCTGCGTAACAGGGAGGCGACCTCCATTTGGAGCGCCTCTTCTGTCTCCCGATCTGTAGGGCGCACCGCACGAATGCCCTGGAACGGCGGTGGTCTCCGTGCGAACTGCAGAGCGTAGCCCCTGCGCATCGTTTTCTTTAACCAGGGGTCTGACAGTAGACCGAGCTCTTCCCAGACCCGAAACTGCTCTGTGAGGGGAAGGAGAGGACCCGGAGCACCTGGTGTAATAGCCCCCCACTCTCCCTGCGCTCCCAGCGGAGAGGGGGGGGCATCGAAAGGGCCGAAACACCTTATGAGATGTGCTGTGTGAGGAGGTTGGGACCAGGCCCCCTGACTCACTTATAGACAGCGGTAATCTGCGTTTCACTCCCCGCCCAGAGGATGAAATGACAGCAGCCTGAGCTGAAGGGCAGACGTGTGTGGGAGCGTCCTGCTCTGTATGCGTAACACCACTAACAGAGGGAACCCCGGAGACGGAGGGAAAAACCTGACCTAGGCTTTCATTACCACCCCTGGGGAATGAAGTGCTGGATTTACCCCGGAGACGCTGAGAAAAGGGAGAGAGGCTCGCAAAACCTGGTCCTGACCCAGCAGACACTACACTGGCCGCTGTGGGAAGTGGTATGGAGGGATGCGGCCGCTGTGGACTCAACGTAACCAAAGGTGATAGACCTGTGTGTGATGCAATGCTGCCCTCTACCTGAGATGACAAACCATGCATGGCAAAAAGATGATGCTCAGACAGAGAATACGGTACACCTTGTCGTTTATTGAAAAACTTTTTCCCCCCCCGAACTCCCCGACTGTAGGGAGGGCGGCGGTGGGAGCGTTGGTCACGGAAACCACCGGAGTAAGGCTCTGAACCCCGTGGTCTCTGCGGAGTGTAGCGGCCCGGGCAAGGAGCAAGAGGGGGCGGAGCTGAGCGTCGCCGAGGTGACCGGTCTCTCACTCTCTCTCTGCCGCGATAAGGCTGCTGCTGTTGTTGTTGCTGCTGCTGCTGCTGCTGCTGCTGCTGTGACACACGGCGAGGGAGCAGATGAGGAGCCAGCATGGCGGAGTCTTTGGCAGCAGCGTCCAGTCTCGCGACGAGCCCCTTCATGTCTGGACCGAAGAGGGAATCCAAGGATATAGGGAGGTCCAGGAGCTGCCTCTTCTCCGTCTCCTTGATGTCCGCTAGCCCCAGCCACAGATGGCGAGCACCGACCTGTGCGGACGCCATGGATCGCCCACCGTCAATAGCCAGCGCCTGGATCATACGGAGTATGGCCGCCGTGGTGGTTCTGGCCCGGTCCAGGTCCTCGTCGGTGAGAGCTTGACCCGTGGATAGAGACCTATCGAGGGCCCCGGTGAGAAGAGCCATATTGCTAGCTAACGCAACGACCTGTGCTGCGTTAGCGTAGCATCAATCCAGTACAGCCATGCTCATCCTATCCCGCTCCGAGGGAAGGAGAGGTCTGCTGCCGGGCCACACCGAGGACTGCGGGAGTAGTGCGAGCCGGACAGCGTCCTCCACTTCCGGGACCCCTTTGGACCAGGACCAGTCTTGGACCGAGCAATAGGCGCCGTACCCCAGAGCAGGCTTCTTAGCTGCTAGGGGTTTGGCCCAATCACGTGCCGCGTAATGGAAAACCGGATCCATCCGCGGACACAGTGTTGGAGCTCGTCTCTTCTTCCCTGGAAGCGATGAACCCACCGACGTGAAGTCGCTCTCTCTCTGGGTGGGTTGCGGAGGCAGGGGGGTCTCCATGGTGGCCGCTGCCGTGGCGAAGAGGCGGGGCATGTGGTCCAGAGGGAAGCGGTCTTGTTCCTCGCACAAGGAAATAGCCTCGTCGAGAGTGACGTAGGAACCCCGGTCCTCGTCAAACTCTTCCTCCACAACACAGTCTCCCCACTCCCTGGGTGCAGGAGGCAGGTGGAGCGGGACATACTCAACCTCAGGTTCCTCCTCCTGGGAGGGACCCGGGCGAGCCTCCGCGGAGGTGGCATAAGCAGCGCGGCGCTCTCTCTCCTCCCCGGGGAGAGAAAGGCACGCCGCACACGTCGCCGCTTCCCGGTGGTGGTGAGCTCCCAGGCAGAGGAAGCAGAACTCGTGCCGGTCTTTGCGGTGGAGCTTGGTCCGGCAGCCACCGCACCGTCTTCGTCCGACGCCGGATGGCGAAGGAGTTCTCGGACGAGGAGGAGTAGACATCGCGATCTTCAATGGTGAGTAGAACTTCTCTCAATGGCGCCAGAGTTCAAAGTGAAGAGCATGGACTGCTGTGGGCTATTTATAGGAGGTTCTGCACAGTGATTGGAGCATTGAGTTCTCTCTGGCGGGAAGCTAGGTGCTTCTGGAGTCATACCCGCTAGGTGCTTCTGGAGTCATACCCAAAGCGAGCCTAAGGGGCGTAGCACTATGAAGTAGAACTTGTTTTTGCTGAAGATGCTCCCCACATTCACACAATCATTCCAGCCTCTTTAGATGTTCATTAGACACTTCCGACCAGCGGGAGACTCGGAGCGGCTCAGTTAACACACTCAGTAGATCACCAAATCGGATAAACCCTACGCAACGTCCCTGAAAAGCACAATGAATCAGTCGATCAAGCACGCTGAGATTGACAAATGCTAGGCTCTGTGCGACCGCGATCAATGCATCAAGTGCTCGATATGGGGCTATTCAAAGACGAGCCTATTCAGATCGTGGAGGCTATCAAACAATTCCAAAAAATCTGCATCCGAGTGAAATTGTGTGTGAGAGAAGGCGCTTTCCCCGCTGCTTCCACCACCTGCTTCCGACAACGTCAACCCGGCTCATTTATCTCTCTACAGGAGCCAGTGCAAATAGGAAAACACAACCACCGCACACACACACACACACACTCTCACACACATACACACACACACACACACACACGGTTCATAGACTTCGGTGCAGTTCTATTTACAATTAATTTCCAGTGGGTCATTGTAGAAGTGATGCTCGGGGCCAGACTCCGCCAGTGCTGTAATCCACATGCATGTAAACATTGTTAATCATGAAGTATTGAGAACATCTGCGTGTTGGATTGGCTCAATGTAATCATAAAGAGTCATCGTTAAAAGCAATTTTGTCAGATGGAAAACACATCCGATTGCAAGCATTGTCAAGGAATACGATCACATTAGTCCAGTTCTAAGGTCTCTGCACTGGTTTGCTTTGGCTCAGAGACAAGACTTTAAAGCAGTCTCTGTATGGCACCAACGTACATCTGTGACATGTTAGTGCTATATGAACAAACTCTGAGCAGCACAGGGACTGGCCTCCTGCTGGGACTCTGAGGAGCACAGGGACTGACCTCCTGCTGGGACTCTGAGCAGCACAGGGACTGGCCTCCTGCTGGGACTCTGAGGAGCACAGGGACTGGCCTCCTGCTGGGACTCTGAGGAGCACAGGGACTGGCCTCCTGCTGGGACTCTGAGGAGCACAGGGACTGACCTCCTGCTGGGACTCTGAGGAGCACAGGGACTGACCTCTTGCTGGGACTCTGAGGAGCATAGGGACTGGCCTCCTGCTGGGACTCTGAGCACAGGTATTGGCCTCCTGCTGGGACTCTGAGGAGCACAGGGAATAGCCTCCTGCCGGAACTCTGAGGAGCATAGGGACTGACCTCTTGCTGGGACTCTGAGGAGCATAGGGACTGACCTCCTGCTGGGGCCCAGACTCAGGACTAATACAACTGAAGGATTGTATCTTGGATCTGGTTTTGTTAAGCACTTTGAGTTGCCTTATTTATGAACTGTGCTATACAAATAAACTTGCCATGCCTTAGATTATAATTATATTTTAAAGTTGAAAGTAAGCAGTATTTTTTATGAGAAATCAACACAACTTTGGCCTAACATCTGAGTCACAAGCCTCTGAAGCTTCTCCAGAACTTGTTGAACTGCCATAGACATAATCAGACCTTTAAAAACAGCTAAATATTTTGACAGGCAAAAAAAAGTTAGCTGAAAATCCACAACCATCCTCCCCCCCTCCACTCCTCCTCCTGCAGAGTGACCTTGCATTTAAGGGCTCACACACACCGAACCCATGCTAAATAAAAAGTTTCCATCTGTCTCTCCAGCCTCCCGCTCGCCTATGTGCCACATCCACCCCCCCATTCAGCGCTCACAGAGAGAGGCAGCGCCAGAGAGAGAGGGACACAATGCAGAAGTGCGTGGCAAGCAGGAAATTGAATGTCAAGGAGCCTTGTTTGCCACTGATGGAGGCTTGTGGGTTACCCCGAAGGAGGAGGCAACGACAGGCTCCAAAAGTAACAGGGAATAATGAAATAGATGGGGAGGAGTGAACGGATATACGGAATAATAAAAGACTGAGAAAATGGGCGAGTACAAAGACACAAAGGAAGAGAGGGGACAGACGCCGGAGATGGACAATGAGGTGGCGTGGTGGGGTGTGAAGTACAGTGGCGGGAACAGCGACTCATTTTGGCACCTCAAAGAACATCCAGAAATGTGACTTTTGTGCAAGAAAGAGGAAGAATTCCCGAGAGCGACAGGCCGCGGGCGCTGTTAATTACACGGCAGGGGACGGAGCGGCGAGCTGAGTGACGCTGAGACACTCTGGTTAAGCAGTGTTATGTCAGCAGTGATGACCGTCTCACAGCCGTTTGTCCTGGGAGGTAAATAAAGTGAATGATCTATTAAGGCGGGAAGTGGAGTCAGCTGTCACCATAAGTATTTAAACTTCAGCTGTTGTATTTTCAAAAGGCAACTAAGGCAGTAGAATGATTTATTAGGTTGATTATTTTGTATAATAATTTTGTATGTATTTTCAAATGTTTACATGTATGTATTATGTATTTTTATCAATCCCTAAAACTGAAGGATTTGTATCTTTACTCTATTTAATTAACTTTGGCTGGTTATGATTTTAATCCCATGTGCAATTTTTATGTCTTAGGGTTTTTAAATACTTGTGTGATTTTATTTTCTATGTTTTCTCTTGTGATCTTAATGTTTGTTTTTGATCATGTTTTTTAATTGTATCTTGTTTATGTTGATGATTTATGCCTGATTTGATGAGGGTTGTGAGCTGTTTTGTGTTGCCTTGTGTGGGAAAGGCGTTCTACAAACACAAGTTGGTTGATAGATTGATTCTTTGTGTTCAGTTTAAACAGGAAACAATCTCCGATACTTTTTACTAAACTGTTTTTACCAGTAACAGAAATGACAATGCCAATAATTGGTCTATACCTCACTGTTGGTCTGTTTATGCAGCCAGTTTTTGTGACTTCAGGGAAAATGGAAGCTCAGCAAAGAAGAGATGGGAGAAAAGAGAGGGGAAAGAGAGGGAAGAGGATTGAACAAAAACAAGAATGGCCCCGTAGAAAATAGAGAGAGACAGGACTTCTGTAAAAACCGCCCTACAATTTCAGAAGTCAGACCACAACATTCTGTCTTTTTATTTTTTTGGACGGAAAGAGAAACCATTTGATGTTTTTGGGTGAGAGCTGAGAGGCTAGAGAGGTGCTAGAACTAAACTGCTTTAGAGCCAGGACTAAAGTTGAATGGATTTGATCGCATAGTTCCTTTGTTGTGGGTTGAAAGTTACATACCCCAGCTTTAATACAGTTCCCCCCTACGGCATGATTGTCCAATAAGATATGCTGGAGGAGGTTAGTTTTAACCAATAAGGACTTAATGGATGGATACTCTGCATGACCATCTCAATGTATAATCCGTGTGTGTTTTTGTGTGTGTATGTGTGTGTATTTGTATGTATGTGTGTGAATGTATTGAGTGGAAAAAAATACAAAAAGAAACAAAACAAAGAATACTTTATTGTATTTACTGGTAAAGTAGGACTGTTATAACTGACTTTGGGGAAGAAAACACTGAAACCAAATGTAAGTATCCATTACACTGCAAAAAATGTATCAAATATGAGGCAGTGGAAGCTTGAATTGAGTTTTTTTCATCTATGTGAGCATATTCTGACGGTTTTAAACAAGATTTGCCAGTAGGTCAAAGCCGTTTAGTCTTATTTCAAGAACTGTTGAATATTTTGTCTCATTCCAAGGGAGACACATCCCATTGGCAGATCTTGTTTTAAGGCGGGTCAGAATGTGCTCTAATTAAGATACAATATATGTTTTACTTATTTTTCATAACTTCTTGCAGTGAAACCATTAGTTTTAATGTAATCAGATCGACTTTCTTTGCAGAGTGAACTTGTTGCATGTGTACCCTGTCAGAACACACTCATATAGAATAATACAAGCTGTCATGCACAAGGCAAAACAAAAGAAAAAACACAGACTGACTGTGAGCAGAGTATTTCTACAAAGATTTCCACAGCTTAAACCAGATCTGCATCATGACGGAGAAGAGGAGATGACGACTCTACGACATAGACACAAACAAGCAGTGAAATTGGAAGGGAAGCCAGCGAGCCCGGTCAGTGCCTTTCTGTATAAATAGCCTAATTAGCATGACCGGGATATCGCCGGGCCTCAAAACGTGGCGTGGCGGAGCTGTTCTAATTACTGGCTAACTTTACCAATTATTCCCGTGTTTAACCAGGCGGAAACGCGAGCTCGACACCTGGACGTTTAGACGCGGCTGCTGCCCTCGCCGTCTTCACGCCACCGCCTGCCATTTCCTGTCAACGTCAACTTCCCCTTCGCAGAACTCACTCAAGATTCAGGTGTGGAGTCTGCTGCGAGAGCCACACATGGGGAGAAGGGAAGAGGAAGTGGTGGTACAGTAGTAATGAAGGTTTAGTTTATATTATTTTCATATTTGGTTTTATAAATATAGTACTGTAAGTCTGACTGAGTGTATACAAAAAAACACCTTAAAGTGAATGTTAGCTACTTTTCAAACTGTGAAGAGAATTTAACTTTTTGAAGACAAGATTAGACTGATTTGACCCGCACCCTTACTCACCGCTGCAGCTTTCTGATTGGTCACAATGAATGGAAATCTATGACATAATATGCCAATTGTTTTCATGTATAGTTTTTGGCGCCCGGACAATAAGCTATGGCAACTTCCTGGGAGTTCCCTTTTACAAAATACTAACAAACTTTACAAATTTGAAGGTGTATGACTTGTATGAGTATGAAGTTTTGTAAATAAAGAAAATTGAATTGAACTGAAATCCTTGGGACCCCTTGTTATTGATTTTAACAAAAATGTTGCTGGAAAATACTGACTGTATGCAGTCGTACAGTGTCCCATGGTCAGATGTATGCTTTGTTTTTAAAATGAAATAAAATTGCTGAAATGTTGTATATTGAAGAAAAATGCATGGTTTATTGTCTCTCCTGCATGGACTCTCCTGCAAGTTATCAATAATCCAATATTAATCAATATAAAAACTCGAACGCAACACTCATTTGAGAAAGTATTGAATGATTTTGATCAATCAGAACTCGTACAGTATACAAAATAGTAGTTCCATAAAAAGCTCTATTATTTATGTTAAGAAATGCAGCTTAATCAGACCGTTAAAAAAAACATAATTATTGTATCAAAACAGGTATTGAGCAACAAGTCTTTTTATTAGTATCAAAATTGCGTTTGAATTTGTTTTATCATGACAACTAGTATGAACTTTTGTATTTTTGACCATTTTTAGACCGTACAAATTGAATACAGGCCCTTTAACTATTCTGTTCTTGTTTCTTGCAATGGAGATTGTAGATTCACAGTGCCAAAAGGAATATATCTTTTTAAAAAACAGCCAAAATGTGTTGTGTTTATAAAGTCTAGAATGATAAACGTTGATGATTGCCCTCTCACACTCGTCACTTGTGTGGGAGGACAGCAGTGTGACCACAGCTCAGCCTCCGTCCTCATACCCCTCACTAACGTACGCCTCTTTGGCCTCTCTGCACATGGCTCTGCATCGGGATTGATTGATTGATTTTATTCATGCGAGCAGACACTTTACAGCCATAAGTTAGAAGGGGACAGCCATTACTAACAATCTGTGAGTGAAACCTGGATAGAGGAGCCCGGTGAGGTCTTCTGGGCCTCCTGTACCACTGGGAGGAGGCCCCAGAGAAGACCCAGGACACACTGGAGGGATATGTCTCTCAGCTGGCCTGGGAACGCCTTTGGATTCCCCATGGATGAGCTGGACGAAGTCTGCACACATTGACCTGTTTTTCATTGAAAAATGTTATTTTTCTTCAAAGGTTTGTCAGATTGTCAAAAGTCTCAAATGTAATGAATTCAAAAAGGGGTTTTGTTTGTTACTACTTATACACTAATTCCAAACTAACATTTACATTTCAAGATGTTTCAGGGCATTAAAATAATGAAATAATCATTTATATGATCATGAATGCTTTGTATGTATTTATTTGTATTTATGTTCCAGCTATGAGCTCCAAAGGCAAGGCAAGTTTATGTATATAGCGCAATTCATACACAAGGCAATTCAAAGTGCTGAACAAAACAAGATAGCATTAAAATCATAAATAATCACAGAACATTAAAAAGAAAGATACAAATATAAAATATAAAATCCCTCAGTTATATGCACAGTTAAACAGAACTGTCTTCAACCTTGTTTTAAACATTGTCAGAGAGGAGGCCTGTCTCACATCTTCAGGAAGACTGTTCCAGATTTTAGCAGCATGAATCTGAAAAGCAGCCTCCCCATGTTTAGTTCTGACTCTGGGCACTAACAGGAGTCCAGTCCCTGTGCTCCTCAGAGTCCGGGCTGGTTCATACGGGACTAACATGTCACTAATATATTTTGGTGCGAGGCCATGGAGAGACTTGTACACAAGCAGAGCTGTTTTAAAGTCTATTCTAAACAAAATGAAAATGAAATATAACACATTTGGGAAAGAAAACATTAATTCAACAGAGAAATACAGCAAGCCCTCGTTAGTATCCTCAGCCAACATTTCCTTTTTATCATTTTCTCAATAATGTGACAGTAATTACAGATGTCTTCCACAACATTACGCTGGTGTGTTTGTTTTTAAATTGAAAAAAAGTTAATGAGGGATTGGACAGGAGCCAGCAGCCCTCCAGATTTCCATCTCACACTGGGCCAACCTCTGGACCGGCCGAGACAAACAAGCCGCCTCTCCCCGCGACGCCCCGCACCCCTCCGCCTTATTATAACGCCTCTACAACGGCAGCGCACACACAACCTGAGCAGCACCACAACAGTAATAAAGACTCATTGCCGGAGAATCACCGCAATCATCATTTGTTTTGGTGATTAAGTTCCCGAGATAAGGACTGACTAAAGCACTGGCTCCTTCCACCGTCGCAAAGACAGACGAGGGGTTTGCCTTCGCTCAAGCTTTAGGCTAAGGCAGAGTTAATATTGCGTTTCAACACTCAAATGATTTATTCATAATGCATCAATCTCCTCCTGACTGTTTACATGACTGTTTATGGATTTACAGTGTTTGTCCATGCGTGAGATAGTTTAAAGACAACAAACAATAATAATAGAACATCAATTCAGATTCTTTTTGCCTCTAAAGACTCATATTTTATGCTCAATTTTACGGCTTGCTAAATGCTTTCGTACAAGTGGGGCCAGAGAGACGGGGAGGACTGCAAAGATTGTCATGTTTCACTGCAAAAATAGTCAAATACTACTCAAATTGGGCAAAATGAATCTTAATTTGAGCACATTTTGACAGCCTTAAAACATGATTTGCCAATGGGACAAGCAAAATTGATCATGTTTTGAAAATAGACAGGAATTACAGTATGTTATGTTGTCTATATGTTTGATTTTTGTATTGTTGAAAAAAATGCCAATGAAAATAATAATAATAATAATAAAAATACAAAAATCCACCCTCCTGTGGACTCACCACCTGCAGAGGGTCAGTGAGGGGCTGGTGCTATGAGACTTGGGTGGCATCTCTGATTGCTACCCCCCTGACCCAGAAATGGATTAAAGGGTAGAAAATGGATGGATGGATGGAAAATACAAGAAATGTCTCCATTGGAATGACAAAAAAATGCACCAGTTCTTGAAATAAGACAAAAACCACTGGATTCAAGCATCTATTACCGCATATTTTATCATTTTTTGCATTGTTTTTTGCATGTTTTTTGCATGACCCACTGATATGATTACACGGGACTAAGCGATTGAGACACAAGAGGAGTTTCAATGTCAAGACAAAAAACAAAGGACATATTATCCCCGGGTGAGTGGAGCCGTCGCTGGGTAATGATGCCAGAGTTGCGCCACACGATGGGAACATGTGGAAACGAACGGGGACTTATTCCAGATGTGTCAGAATGTGTGCGAGAATAAGCCCATGTTTTTTTGTAAAAGTTTATATAAGTTTTGTATAGTTTGTATTATTTTTTTTTTTTTGCAGGTGGTGAAGTCTTGGCACATGCTCCAGATTTATTGCTACTCTTAAAGAAACATATCTTCTTGCTTAAAACTTTGTGTTTAAATAGTAAAAACATATTCATTATTGCATGATTTAGATCAGGGGTCTCCAACCTTTTTCTATCGGAGAGCTACTTTAGAGAGCTACTTCTTTTAGCAGTTGTAATAAAAATGTATCTACAGTAATAATTACGACAAAACATGGAGAACACATGCAAAATATACCATAATCCTGTAAAACCCTATATTTTTTTATTGTAATAGATATGTAATTACTCAAAATGTATTAATTCAAGATCATTTGTTAAATTCTATGTATTTTGGCGAGCTACCTTAAAGGGGCTGGCAAGCTACTGGCAACTCCCGAGCCACAGGTTGGAGACCCCAGATTTAGATGCGCGAGAGTTTAAAGGTGATGTCTGCAACTTCGTTTTGGAAATAACACAATAGCTATTTTTAAAGTTCCTCTCCTTGGCGTAACCATCACCAGTCAGATTTGCTAAAAGAGAATAGTTCGACCAATGGGGAGGGCCCGACTCCGCATTCGATCTGGATTTGAATTCATTGTGTCCAATACTGAAGCTGTGGGGGCGGGTCTAACACATCTGTCCATCTTCTCAATGTGAAAAGTAACTGACCTTCACTTTAAAGCCACATTTTGTAACTTTCTTGCTGAGTGGACTTTGCATGTTCTCCCTGTGTCTGCGTAGGATTCCTCCGGGTGCTTCGGTTTCCTCTACCACTATAAACATGCACAATCGGTCCGAATGTAATGAATGAGTGAATGGATGATGTTTGGTCGGAGGCTTTGATAAGATAAGAGTCTCGCTTCCGTCATCACTCTGTGGAGAGAATGAAACAATATCTGAACTCTGAACCTCGTAAAGCGCTTTGGGTGACCTCGGTCTGTAAAAATGCGCTATATAAATAAAGATTACTTACTTAGTTTCTGAAGGAGGTAAATCCACCTCATGGTTCCAACTAAAACTCTAGATTTTTACCATAAATATGTTTATGTCATGTTCATTATAAGCAACAACTGTGTGACTAGACCAGTGGGGGCGGGTCACAGCTCAAAAGTGACCAAATGACGTGCGCTGACATACTTGCAATCCCACCCTGGGCCGATGGGGGTGGACCCGGAATAAGAATTATTCAATACTAACATATAGCATTAGCTGACCTCTCGAAAACGTCTTTACAGGATGGTCCAAAAGTTGGCTCTTGGCCCAAAGCTCCGTTCCACATGTGTGTCAATGCTGAGGGGGGTGAATTTTTTTGGACCAGTCTAGTTTAGTCGCTGTGAATGTTTGAAGTCACTCGTTAAAAGAATGGGGCTGGTGCCGGCTGACGCATGCGCAGATGCGTTTTTTCAC